CTTCTATAACCTAATACGTGCCTGGCTGCACACATTGACTAAAATGTTTTATTCATTCATACATGCTTCATAAACATTTTAAACAATTCTTTTATTATTCATATGGAAAATATTTGCATCAAATATAAATGCAAGTAATTCATTTTCATTTCTTATTTTGTAGAGACATTGCATGTGTGTAGAGGAGCCTTCATTATCATGGTATAATGGGTTAAATATTTTTTATTCCTTTTATCCACTTTTATATCAGTATTTGATGCTAAAAGATCAGAAATTAAAGAAAAATGTTCATGCATGAAGTTGTGATGTTTTTATTAGAAATTGACCAATTATTGTCTTTTTATTTTTATCTCTTCGAATAGCAGAAACCTTCTGACTCAAAGAGACAAAAGGAATTGGAGACATGATGATTGACAGAAACCTGATTCAAAGAGACAAAAGGAATTGGAGACATGATGATTGACAGAAACCTGATTCAAAGAGACAAAAGGAATTGGAGACATGATGATTGACAGAAACCTGATTCAAAGAGACAAAAGGAATTGGAGACATGATGATCGACAGAAACCTGATTCAAAGAGACAAAAGGAATTGGAGACATGATGATTGAAACCTGATTTGGAACATGATGATTGACAGAAACCTGATTCAAAAGAGACAAAAGGATTTGAGACATGATGATTGACAGAAACCTGATTCAAAGAGACAAAAGGAATTGGAGACATGATGATTGACAGAAACCTGATTCAAAGAGACAAAAGGAATTGAGACATGATGATTGACAGAAACCTGATTCAAAGAGACAAAAGGAATTGGAGACATGATGATTGACAGAAACCTGATTCAAAGAGACAAAAGGAATTGACATGATGATTGACAGAAACCTGATTCAAAGAGACAAAAGGAATTGGAGACATGATGATTGACAGAAACCTGATTCAAAAGAGACAAAAGGAATTGGAACATGATGATTGACAGAAACCTGATTCAAAGAGACAAAAGGAATTGGAGACATGATGATTGACAGAAACCTGATTCAAAGAGGACAAAAGGAATTGGAGACATGATGATTGACAGAAACCTGATTCAAAGAGACAAAAGGAATTGGAGACATGATGATTGACAGAAACCTGATTCAAAGAGACAAAAGGAATTGGAGACATGATGATTGACAGAAACCTGATTCAAAGAGACAAAAGGAATTGGAGACATGATGATTGACAGAAACCTGATTCAAAGAGACAAAAAATTGGAGACATGATGATTGAGAAACCTGATTGAATTGGAGACATGATGATTGACAGAAACCTGATTCAAAGAGACAAAAAATTGGAACATGATGATTGACAGAAACCTGATTCAAAGAGACAAAAGGAATTGGAGACATGATGATTGACAGAAACCTGATTCAAAGAGACAAAAGGAATTGGAGACATGATGAAAGAAACCTGATTCAAAGAGAAGGAATTGGAGACATGATGATTGACAGAAACCTGATTCAAAGAGACAAAAGGAATTGGAGACATGATGATTGACAGAAACCTGATTCAAAAGAGACAAAAGGAATTGGAGACATGATGATTGACAGAAACCTGATTCAAAAGACAAAAGGAATTGGAGACATGATGATTGACAGAAACCTGATTCAAAGAGACAAAAGGAATTGGAGACATGATGATCGACAGAAACCTGATTCAAAGAGACAAAAGGAATTGGAGACATGATGATCGACAGAAACCTGATTCAAAGAGACAAAAATTGGAATGATGATTGAGAAACCTGATTCAAAAAGAGACAAAAGGAATTGGATGATGATTGACAGAAACCTGATTCAAAGAGACAAAAGGAATTGGAGACATGATGATTGACAGAAACCTGATTCAAAGAGACAAAAGGAATTGGAGACATGATGATTGACAGAAACCTGAAAAAGAGACAAAAGGAATTGGAGACATGATGATTGACAGAAACCTGATTCAAAGAGACAAAAGGAATTGGAGACATGATGATTGACAGAAACCTGATTCAAAGAGACAAAAGGAATTGGAGACATGATGATTGACAGAAACCTGATTCAAAGACAAAAGGAATTGGAGACATGATGATTGACAGAAACCTGATTCAAAGAGACAAAAGGAATTGGAGACATGATGATTGACAGAAACCTGATTCAAAAGAGACAAAAGAATTGGAACATGATGATTGACAGAAACCTGATTCAAAGAGACAAAAGGAATTGGAACATGATGATTGACAGAAACCTGATTCAAAGAGACAAAAGGAATTGGAGACATGATGATTGACAGAAACCTGATTCAAAGAGACAAAAGGAATTGGAGACATGATGATTGACAGAAACCTGATTCAAAGAGACAAAAGGAATTGGAGACATGATGATTGACAGAAACCTGATTCAAAGAGACAAAAGGAATTGGAGACATGATGATTGACAGAAACCTGATTCAAAGAGACAAAAGGAATTGGAGACATGATGATCGACAGAAACCTGATTCAAAGAGACAAAAGGAATTGGAGACATGATGATTGACAGAAACCTGATTCAAAGAGACAAAAAGGAATTGGAGACATGATGATTGACAGAAACCTGATTCAAAGAGACAAAAGGAATTGGAGACATGATGATTGACAGAAACCTGATTCAAAAGACAAAAGGAATTGGAGACATGATGATTGAGAAACCTGATTCAAAGAGACAAAAGGAATTGGAGACATGATGATTGACAGAAACCTGATTCAAAGAGACAAAAGGAATTGGAGACATGATGATTGACAGAAACCGTCTCACTCAAAAGGACAAAAGGAATTGGAGACATGATGATTAATTGGAAAGAAGCACATTGGTTTTGAATATTTTCCATGATTTTCTGCTTTGGTGTGTTTGCATTTAAACAGTTTGAAAAGTAACTTAAAGGGTAAACTTTGCCACCAAAGAGTTAAATGGAAAATTTCAAGAAATACTTTTCTTTTCACATCTGATTGCATTTTTGTTTTCCAAATATATTCACAATCAAGAAGGAGATGTGACATACTTCATAAATAAAAAAAAAAGTCATGTAATCAAACATAACTCAATTGAATTGTTGCTTCCTCTTTTTTTAGCAGACTAACTTTTTCAAAACTTATTGATAATTTATGATAAAAATATCACAGACATTTTTGATTTGAACATAATGATTTTTATAGCATTATCAACTTTGATTTCAACCACTATATGATGATGTAGTGACGTCATTGACTAGGTTCCTTCCTAATAAAGATAGTGAAGACATGGGATCTGTGATTGACTAGGGCAGGAAATGGCTTGCGAATTTTAATGCATCCAAAATGAAACTGCTATCATTTACTCACCATAGAGAAATGTCCCTGCTTCCTATCGGGATGGTTGATGCTCAGCTCCACAAAAGCGCCTCACTGTGCCTTCTTGGTCTCATATTTCCCACTGATCTGAGGTGGATCAACTACATTGAATCAATAGCTGCATCTACCACAAGTTGGTTCTCTGTGTCATGCCATAAGGTTTTTCTTGTCTGCATGCATCCTTCACATCTACAAATCTACCATTCATCCATGCATGGAATACTGTTGCCATATATGGTCTGGTGCCCTCACTGTTCATCCCAAGATTCTTGACAAAATCCAAAAATGGATCTGCAATGTGATCAGTCCTGACTTGGGGTATCGACTCCAGTCACTTTCTCGACAATGTAATGTGGCTTCCCTCTGTCTTTCCTATAAATATTTTTATGGCATCTGCTCTGACAAGCTATTTTCACTGATGCACCAACTCCATGAATTTAAGCGTGCTACTAGGTTGGCATCTCAGTCCCACCCTTTTACTGTTCAAACAGTTGAATGTAACCACCTCTTCTACTCCAACAGCTCCTACTCTCTCACATTTCCCAACAGTGGAGTTTCCTTCCTCTTACTTGCTTCCCTGATAACTATAATCTTCAAAAATTTAAATGTAATGTCAGTCGACATGTTCTGTTTCTTTGATCCCCATTCTTCTTTTGGTCCTCTTCTATTCTTCTTTTTATCCATCCCCACCCATCCCATATATTCAGTCTTTTCGCTTACAATCACTGTAGCCCCTTGTGCACTAGTGGCCCTTCCACCTTGCTTAAAAAAATAAAAGAGGGAGGAAGAAGAATCAGGAGATTTCAGACAGCACGTTGTCAGGCTACTTGCTTTTAACTGGTTTCCAAGTTTTATTTAGATCTAACCAATCTCTACCACTATCATGTGCTGCAAGACACTACATATAGCACTTAAAATTACTTTTAAAGATTTAGACATGATAGACAAATAACATAAATGGTTAAAACAAAATTTTCTGTAGACCATAAAAAACAAGATAACAAAGAATATAACAACGTAACAAAAAACAAGTTGATTTGCTACCCTTATAAAAAAAAACAAGTTGATTTGCTACCCTTATAAAAAAAAACAAGTTGATTTGCTACCCTTATAAAAAAAACAAGTTGATTTGCTACCCTTATAAAAAAAACAAGTTGATTTGCTACCCTTATAAAAAAAACAAGTTGATTTGCTACCCTTATAAAAAAAACAAGTTGATTTGCTATCCTTATAAAAAAAACAAGTTGATTTGCTACCCTTATAAAAAAAACAAGTTGATTTGCTACCCTTATAAAAAAACAAGTTGATTTGCTACCCTTATAAAAAAAACAAGTTGATTTGCTACCCTTATAAAAAAAACAAGTTGATTTGCTACCCTTATAAAAAAAAAAATTTCAATTTACTTGGATAGATTTACACAATCTCAACTGATTTACAGTTGTTTTTAACTGTTTTTATTGATTGCTCCTTACTTTTTAAACTAAAACTTGCAATGCTCTGGAACATGAGAATTTGAAAGAAAAAGAATAAAATGTCTTTCTGTAGGTCCCAGATAAAATTTAATTTAACCATTAATGAAATCCCATTTAATATTGTGTTAACAAATGAGATGTTATACTTACGTTTAAGTGTTTTCTGTAATTGATTGCGTTGTTTTATAATATTACCAAAAGCAGGTGCATCTTCAGGAATCAGATTTCTTTTATTCCACTTCCCACAAGCATAAGTATAAAAGTCTTCACAGGGATCAACAGAAAAATCAATATCATTCAAGAGTTCAGCAGCTGAAAATAAACAAACAGACATAATTTCTGAAAGTTTGGTTTCTAAATAATATTTCAAATCTTTTCATCAATATCTTCTTAGATATTAAATATATTATTAGATATATTTATTAAATATTGCTTAAGACAAAGAAAGTTTCTAAACTAAAATATTACTGTCATTTTATTTATATTTTTAAAGAATGTTTGTTGCAATTGAATTTTTAAAGAATCTCTTACACCTCACCAATGACAAAATGACCAAATTTCTCTTTTCCTAATTCATTTCTGATATTTTAATTGATATCTAATAATATATATATGTTTTGTTTCACTTCAGTTGTTCAGTGGGTTTGAAAAGTTTCATGTCTATATTATGAATATTTTGAAAGAATAGAGATCAACCAAATTGACATTGACAGTAAGCCTGTCTCATCATAGATATTGCATAAGTATGGAATATGATCTCCAATGTAGAACTATTAAATGACTGGCATTAACAACAGAATTACAGTAAAAAATCCAAACACAAGAAAGTAAATGCTACAAAGCATCCTAGGAATCTATTACATAGACGCCATCAAAAATGACACAGGCTCATTGGAATATGACGTAACCACCACCAATTCTGAAAAAGCATGACCATATCATTAGAGCCAACAATTTTCCCACTACCATCCAACAAGGTAAAACCAGAAGTAAAAGAAGATATTGCAGACAGAGGAATAAAATGGACTGACAAAGTCAATGAGTAAACTAGAACATTCTTCACAGAGACTCAGAAATTGGCATAGAACCAATATATAGATGGAGTTGGTCAGGCGATCAGCTGTGCAATAGCCTTACAACCATACCTGTGATCATTGGGCAGGTAAATATTAAGGGTACTCAATGACTGGAAAATACATTTTGCTGTATTCAGGTAAGATTATCGAAAGACACTTATATATTAGGAGAGTGCCAATAAGTTCTCAGGCTTACTGACCCACTTTGAATTTTTGTAACGCCTTTTTGGTCAGGCCGAGAGCGTGATCACCCCCACCCACACATACACACTTTACATCTATGTTTAAAACTTGCTATATTTATAGAGGAAGAGTGCTTAATATTGGAGATAGATTGTTTATACATATAGACAGGGTAGAAATATGAATCAACATTGCATGGTGACTGTCAGTTTCACACTTCAATGTGTCACTATATACCAAGTGTAACAGCAAAATTATCCAATTGTTAGATTAAGCTTTGAACCGTTGCATCTTAGAAATGATTAAAGATAATTTACTGGAATTCTCCAAGGTTTTTATAACACTTGGACTCTACTTAGAACAATAAGAATGTATTAAGCTTTAAGTTGAAATGATGATCCTTCTTCCTGTTGTGACTTTCTGATCCAGTTTTCCTCTTTACTTTTTCCTCTTAAATTTATTCACCATTCTCTTGATGGTTCTTGAATGGACTTTGAAGATGGAAGCCAGAGTACAAATGTTGTACCATTACTGAGGCCTGAATGATCATTTTCCTCTCGCCATTGATCAGTAGGGAAGACATAGTGGGGCTGAAACAAAATGATTTTAACCTGTTCTCTTTCTAGCTGAATAACTAAAAGGGTTTTTCAGTGATTCTTAGGACAAATGATGTCAAGATGGCTAAATGTGTTATCTGAAAACCTGGAAAAAAGAAACTCAGTTTAGTAGTTTTTTACATATTGAATATTTTGTGGGATGGACAATTATCTCATGCTGTTACATGATTTGAATAATTTGCTGTTACTGCCAGGGTGTATATATATATATATATATATATATATATATAATATAAATAACAATATTATTTGATAATCCGAATGAATAATTCCAAAGAGGATTTAAATGCAAAGAATAATAATATTATTTGATAATCCGTATGGATAATTCCAAAGAGGATATAAATCCAAAGAATAATATTATTTGATAGTATTGGTTTTGTGAAATAAAATATTACCATGGGTTTCTAAAGTCTCTGCTTTTATATATATATATATATATATATATATATATATACACACACACACACACACACACAGAGGGTGCGATGGATAAATTGTCGTCTAAACCACATAAAAATGAAAATAACACTGACATCTCATTTTAATAGATATATTTACCAAAATTGCATAAAAATATGTTGAAATACTAAAAGAGTAAATTTATTCAATAAAATCACCATTGGCTTCAATCACGGCCTCCAGACAACTTCAGAATCTCTTGCAACTCTTCTGGATGGTCACCTTGTTTAATTTGGTAAATGCTGCTATAATCCTTCATCTTTGATGTTACAAGGAGTTTTACTGGTCTCACACTCAACTGTGTTCCACACATACTAATCAAGGGGGCTGCAGTCCGGGAAGTCTATAAGCCACTAAATGTAAGGGGTGATGTGGTTGCAGAAATTGTCTGACAGCCATTACTGAGTTCTCCTGCTTGTGTGCCTGGTGCAGAGTCCTGTTGCCAGACATAGGGTCTTCTAGAAGCAACTCTCTTGACCCAGGACAGTACTGCCTCCTCAAAGCACTTAATGTAGGCCTCTGTGTTGAGTTCAAGGCCCTGTGGGAAGATGAATGGAGGCATAACATCACCATCAATAGTAATCACCATTAGATTCATCCAACTCTTTCTGAATCCTCTGCACAGTCCTCAGATTGACACCAGAACACTCTGGAATGTTCATATTGGTGCTTCTGGAATGAATGTCAAGCAGTACAGCATGCCATTTCCAAATTTCTGGCAGAGTGAATTGCATCATGTTGCCCAACCGACCCTACTATACTGTGTAGTAGACAAAATCAAATAACGTGCATGCACAAAATAAAAAATATAAAATGGCAACAATTTAGCCATCATACCCAGTGTGTGTGTGTGTATATATATATATATATATATACACATGATAAAATATAGTTTTATGGTATGCTATATTTATGGGTTAAAGTTCTCAATATCAGGGATAGAGTAGAAGTAAATATAAAAGTCGACATTGAAGTTAACATCCAGCAGTAACACTCAGTTTTATGCTAAACACAATCATCAGGTAATATTACCTTATGTTTGCATTAAGTATGAAACAAACTGTCACCTCTGAGTGTTGATTTCAATATCCACTTTATATATATAAAATTATTTCTTATAGGAGATTAAGGCAAAAACATGTTAAAAATAGCTACACAATAGCAATCTTTTACACAAGAGAAAGAGAAGACAAAAAAAAAAACCCAATTAAAATGAGGTACAAGGCCTACACTAAAATCCACAATAACTGAAAAAAATATATAGGCCATGATATGAAGTTGTCTGCAATGGAATCCGAGACAGTGTCATTTGAGACAGATACAAATGATTACAGTGTCTCGTAAAATATAAAGTATGACATTCAACTTTCATAGGAAGTTAAGGGTAAAGGGGTAGGGAGATAATCTAGCATATTGTTAACTAACAAGATTCATTCTACATGTTATAGTTTTTTTGTTTTTTTTTAATATTTTCCATTTTACCATAGGAGTTTTCTTAACTTCTTTTAATGTCCAAAAACATTTAGAACAAAATGTACTATATTTATGAGTACTATTGGTGAAGGATAAGATATGTTGATACTATCTAGTCTTAAAAGAATTCTTAGTACTCCCAATATAAAATACAATAATATTGTAGAAATAGTACTTAAATAAACAAGAGATTTGGTCATACATTGTTTATCTAAGTACATTGCTTCTAAATATTTTTGGAACTTAAAAGAAGTTAATAAAACTCCGACAGTAAAATGGAAAGTATTAAAAAAAGCTATAAGGTGTTGATATTTAAATGAGCTTTGTTTCCTATGCTTACATGAGAAACTAGAAATTATCAGATTTACTGATAAAAGCTCCTTATTAAACTAAAGAAGTGAATTAACTGTAAATTGTAGGCATAGTTTACCTTTTACCTTACAATATGGTTAAACTTTGAATTTGATAATACTTTTTCTTATAGTAATGATTGGTAGATGAACTGTGGTGCACCTTATATGGTTTACTATTCTATTGTGTAAAATTTATTTCGATTTAATATAGCTCTGTATTGATGTCTAGTTAGTATTATTAACATTTTATATGGATGGTCTTTACTTAATGGTTGTATATTAATTTCCCAAAGTAGTTTTGAATTTATGATTCTTTTTTTTTTCTTAAAGAAGACTTTTAATTATCAACCACAAAATTCTATGTAGGAAGCTGATCGAGCATATAACTAGTTAATATGCTAGATTATCTTCTTACTCTTTTACCCTTCACTTCCTATGAAAGTTGAACGTCATACAAATGATTACATCATCTTGTAAAATATAAAGAAGTATCTGTCTCAAATGACACTGTCTTGGATTCAATTGCAGACAACTTCATATCATGAACTATATATTTTTTCAGTTTTTTGGGATTTTAGTGTAGGCCTCATACCTGATTGGTTAAACATGGTAAACCCACAAGTCTCATTTTACTTGTTTTTTTTTTTCTTCTCTTTCTCTTTCAAAAAAAGAGGAATTATTCTGCTTTTGAAATTAATTGTTCACTCACCAGTAATTTACCATCGCCTGAGGAGACAAATTTGCAGTGTCAAAACAGCTATTGTGCAGCCATTTTTAATATGTGTTTGCTTGAATCTCCTATAATAAATAATATTTAGCTCTACTCAGTATTGAGCATGATTAAAGATATCATACTGGAATTCTCCAAGACTTTTATAACACTATTGGACTCTACTTTGAACAATAAGGATGTATTAAGTTGAAATGATGATCTCTCTTCCTGTTGTGACCTCCTTATCCAGTTTTCCTCTCTACTGTTCCCTCTTAAACTTATTCACATACAAGCACAGATAAATATAATTTTCATTAACAAATAATTAAGTAATCAATATTAAATGATTAATAAAAAAACTAGCAAACAACACTATAAAATAGCTACAAATAACCACATTCAGATCCACAATTATTCCAACTCATTAACCTATAGAATAATTTGAAATACAACCATTACCACTTACCCAATAACTGTTAGGATAATACAAAAGACCTTGCTACCCATAACGCACCATGGACCAGCATATATAAATACTTGAGCCAATACACAACACACATTGCCTGAATATTGCAGTGAAGCTTGAAACAAACTGTCACTGCTTTGTGTTGACCAGTGTCCACTTTTATATTTATATATGCTAATGTACTTTGATTGATCCTTAACCTTTGATTAATATTCAATTAATTAAAGACACACATTAAAAATATTTAATATTCTTCTGAGCATAACATGGAAATTCTGATTAGTTTTATTTCATACAATAAAAGTGAGGTACTTTTACTTGTTTACCAAATGCAAGAACTTTTTTCCTCCAGATTTTGCTCAACTTTAAATTGGTTTTCTTATAAAATTAACTAATTGAGTTTTAAGATTAAATCGCTGAGATTAAATTACTCACCTGTTTTTATGCAATCATCAGACAGACAAACTATTTCTTGATCTGAAACAAAAATGACTCGATTACAAATTGAAGGACCAGGATTAAAATAAAAAGCAATCAGAAAGAGTTTTTTTTAAAGTGAGATTTGCTCTTTTTTTTTTTTTTTATTAAATATGCTTTAATTCATAAAGTTAAAAGAACACTTTTCAAGCAGAGAAACATGTCTGTAAAGGATTTGTTTTTTCAATCTAAAGATTTCAAAGAATGATTTTGATATTATAGCTACTGCTACTGGATGTAAATGTTAATAGTAATATTAGTTGGAGGTTTTGTTTACTAACCTCCTATTTGAATTAGTGTGAAATTATTTTCTTTTCAAATTACATATGATATCCATTGTAGTTGTTGCTGTTGTGATTCTGTAGCACTGATCTACAATGTTCAAAGAAGAATGATCTTTGCCAAGATTCTCAGGCTTTACCCATTCAAAACCTTTTACAACTGTTGATCTTAGAAAGTGGTTGTATATAGCTGAAAGTTTAAATATTTCTGAACAGGTTTGGCATCATGCATGACATCCATATAAAAGTCTTGATTGGACAAGGCTATTTAAGAACATGAGTGGATTTTTCTGGTTGTTGTGTTGGGCAAAACTACATCTGGCAGCTCAGCCTATTCTATGTTCTTCTTCTCCTATACTTAATTTATTATAACTGATCCATATCTGAAGTGTTTAGTATTTACTAATTCCACATCCTGAATTTTTATGATGATTTTTATGAACTCTAACCCATCACTGTTTTCATTCCAATTCGAAATCATAATTTCTGTTTTGGAAGGGTTTATTCTAAGTACTTTTTCTTGGAACACTTGATAGAGAATGTTTTCATTTTTATGATGGATTCAAGGTAGGTGTCATCACCGCTTTCATTCCAATTGCAGATCATAGTTTTTGTTTTGGAAAGGTTTATCTTGAGTCCTATTTCTTGGAACACTTGATAAGAGGATGTTGATTTTCTGATCAAAGTCATTCTTATCCCAAATATGAATATCTAGGTCATGAGCATAGTCCCCTTCATCATTAGTACTTTGGCCTCAGGATGGAAAAAAGGATCGTTGTTTTCTATTAGTAGACTTGTTTGGGATATGGTATGGAATGCTTGTATGTGCCCAGAGTATAATCCAGATTAAAAGATTAAATAGGTTGGGGATTTCATTACCCATTTGTCATGCCCCTGATGAAGTCTAAAATGTTCCTGTATTGGGGTCCTTGCTAGACATGGAAGATTCTGTAGATTAATCCACTGCCTCTATTAGATTGATGCATTCAGTGGATTTGGGCTTGTAAGGCAGTTTCTAATGGATGTAAAGAGGAAGTCTCTATTGATGTGGTCATACGCTGCTGTGAGGTTGACAAAGCAGGTATACGGTTTCCTGTTAGAGAGGTAAGAAATTTCTTGTTGTTTGATGACATATATGCCATCGTTGCATCCCTTACCAGAATGAAAACCAAACTGGGTCGTGAGGGGTTGACTTTCATAAAATAACGAGCCTAGTTAATATAATGTTAATAATGTCAATATAATATAATACTTTCACTATGATGGATCCAATTGAGATACCTCTGTATATGTGAGAGTTTGGAGAACTACTTTTCAGTTTCCATAATGCATGATAAACACCACTATTTGGGGTTGCATTTCTGATTCCAGACTTCTTTCATAAAATAGAAGAATTTGTTACTGAATTCAGGGAGAAAGTAAACTATTTTTAAAAGCTCACCTTGAATGATGAGTTATGATTTATTATTCTGTAGTTTTTTAATAGCTTTCTTAATTTTCTCATCACTAGATTCATTATAGTTTACGTTTGGGGATGAATTTTGTAAAGATTGGATGAATACTGATTTATGTTCTATTTCTGTGAACATTTTAAGTTTAGTATGGTCTGGGCTGAAATGTGATTCAAACTGTCTTTTGAGACCAAGGCATTATTATCTGTAGAGATTATGATTGTATGGTATTATGTTTTTTTGCTTTTCACCATATTTTAATGGCTTCTGTAATCTTTAATGTTTTTTTTTTCATTTAGCTTATAAAGTATTTTCTTATTACTAGAAAGATGACTAACATTATTGTTATTCTTATGGTAATTGTTGGTGCATTGTTGTTGATGTGCCCAATTACACTGACTTTAACGCATGTCATATATGTAAAATAGTGAACATAAGTTTTAATGTTACCATAAAATGTTCTGTTGAAAATTCTGAAAGAAATAAATATTTTTCTAAAAACCTTTTTTGAAATGTACCATATTGCTACTTGGAAGGTAACAGCACATAAACAGCTATAGGCTTAACTTCCATTAACACAGAATCAAATAGTAAAAGGTAAGAAGATTGTATAGTGCCAACCTTCCAAGTATGAATATACATTCAAAATCCCAACCACTAGCACAAAGGAGAAACTAGCTCAGCCACTGAAAAGTTGTAAGTTTAATGTATGTTTAACTGTGTAAACTTTTGAATGGAGAATTCAAGGGGAAAAAAGCAAATGAAAAAACAAACCAGTAAGAGAAACAGTTGTGAAGAAAAGGAAAATAGGAAATGATGTTGCTTTGCAGATGAGTAAACAAATTACTTACTGTGACTGTTTTCCTTAAATATGAAGGCAACACTAACAAAGGCCACAAAAGCAATCAAAAGAAAGATGCAGACAGCCAGCAGGTATTTTTCTCTGTTGGTCCATTTCTTTTCAAGATGATTTTTTTCTCCTGGAATGTGCACCTGTACAAAAACAGGATCTTCAATATTCTTGGAATCTGGGTTCATTGGAGTGTTACATTTTGCAGAATTATCATCATTGTCACCACAAGTGTCCTTCTCCATTTTTTTTTTTTTTTTTTTTTGTAATAAGTTACTGTAGTCACTCAGTGTAATAAAGATGCATTGTGATGATGGCAGCTGTTAAAGAAAGAGCCATTTTCTGTGTTGCTCACGTCATGAAAGTCCATTAATGCCAAAAGACACTGCAAGACAAAAAGAAAACTTTATTGAGACAATGATGAAGCTTTATGAATGGTGCTAGTTGACCCAAATTCTGATTGAATCAAACAAAACAGTATGAATAACTGATATGAAAATGGAAATATTGATAAAAAAAATTTGGGGACTGGATTTCATTTTTCCATTCTGATAATATCTGAAGTCAAATAAAGTTTTTTAAAATGTTGGTTTGTTTTGGCTACAATCTTGAACCAAAAACCAAACCAATGATAGAGTAAAATGGATGAGACATCAGACCCTAAAAATCAAAATATATTTGAAACTTCCATCATGGTGTATATTTGGGAGTTCATTGCAGTTAGGTCATGGTGGAGATTCAGACTGAGGACAGGAAACTAGTAGATATTTAATAGGAGTAGATAGGCTTGTTTATCATCTGGTTCACACACCTCCCTGGTCTTTTGAACAGGAGTAGAGGTTTATCCCTTGTTTCCTTAAATCTTGACCTTTTCAAGTCTGGAATTAGCTATCTTTCTTGTTATCTTGCTCTTTCTCACATTAATGTAGGTACCTCCACGAAATCGCTAAAAAAAGAGCATAGCTTGATGAAAAAGACGCCAACCTTGCCGAAAACAAAATTTTATTGTCTAAATGCTTATGTTATTATTTAGAGGAAAGACCAAAGTTTTTTTTAATTATTTTAAAAAATTTTCCTTCTTTTGAGAAAATTCTAAATTTTGATTAAAAACCTTGTTTCTATTTGTATCAGCGGAACTAGTAAATAACAGACAATTTTTAGCACGTTTTTTGGTATGACACACATTAATTTGAAAAATCGTGCAAAAATAGAAATAATTATCGGATGTTAATGAAACTTTCAGGAACTATTCACAGATGATCGAAATTATTATAAATATGTTTTTTTTTATGAAAGTCATGGTAGAAATATTTTTAAAAAAGCCTTGCACATCTACCCTGCCCCTTCACCACTTCTTTCACCTGTCATTATGTTAGAATTAAGGTGAAAATTAGCAATTTATTGATATAATTAGACAGTTTATCTATTAGTTAAGAGATTATACAATAAAGTAAAAATAATAATAATAATATTAGCAGTATTGAACAAGTCATTATTATAGAGATCATATATCTTGATTGGTTTTCTTGTCAATTGAAGAATACAAGAGTGCTACAGAAATTGGCACATTTGAGAAGACAAGTTTTATCATTCTCAAAGAAAGGAATTTAGGGTGATCTATGGTGGAAATTAAAAGCAATTCAAAAAAAAAAAAAAAAAAAAAAAAATTCAAAATATATAAATAAACTCAACCAGAGAGTGAAATTATCACATTGGAAGGATATAAGGTGAAACTTTAGGTACCTTGATGCTTGGATTCAGTCAAGTGAAAAGGACATGGATATCAGAATTGGCCAAGCTTCAGGTATACTAAACAAAATAGAAAGGTTTTTTTGGTAAACTACTAGGAGCCCTAATCAATGCTAAATTGGTTAAGCATCTCATATCACAGGGCCTGCTTTCAGAGAAGCAATATGGATTTCTAGGTCACCTACTGATGTATTAATGATTATTGCAAAAAGACTATCAAGCTTTAGACATGAATGGTGAAGCTTGGGCTGTTGCTTTGGACATCTTGAAAGCGTTCTACAGGGTTTGGCATGCCAGTCTTCTTTACAAGTTGAAAAGTTAGGGACAAATTTTTGAACTGCTTCAGTCTTTCTTATCAATTCACAAAATGTTGTTCTGAATGGCTGCTCTTCTAGATTCTTTCATACTAATGCATGTGTCTCCCAGTGCTATATCCTTGGACCTATTTTGTTTTAAATTCTCATTAACAACCTTCTTGATGGCATCAGCTCTCAACTTTGTATCTATGCTGATGATATAACCATTTACTTCTTTCTCAATAGTATGTTTGATCAGATTGATAATTTTATTTTTTTTAAGCATTTCACCCCAAGTAAGGCATGAAGCCACTAGGACACAAGGGGTTACAGAAAATTTAGAGAAAGATCAGATAGGAGTGATAGAAGAAAGGATGAGGAGAAGGGGAGTGGATAGATCAAGGCAACTGGAGATGTCGATTGACATTACATTTGAATAACTGGAGATTATAGCTCTCAGGGAAACTAGAATAGGGAAGGGAGTTCCACAGGCGAGAGGTGCGAGACATGAAGCTATTGGAGTAGAAGAGACGGCTACATTTAGAAGTTTCGACAGTGAAGGGGTGAGAGCAGGATGCCAGCCTCGTCGGGCGCTTGAACTCATGAAGTCTGGGAACCAGCGAATGCAACTCCTCAGAGCAACTGCCATGAAAGTATTTGTAAAACAGACAGAGAGAGGCGACGACGAATCTGTGAGAAAGTGTCTGTAGACGAGATGCCAGATCAGGGCCAATTATATTGCATATCCACCTCTGGAGCTTATCAAGAACCCCGAGGCAAACAGAAGGGGCTCCGGACCATATATGGCAGCAATACTCCATGCAAGGGCGAATTGTTGATTTGTAGATCTGGAGGATTGATTCTGGGGAGAAGAATTTCCTGGCGTGGCACAGTTTATAAAAATATGTGAACCAACTACAATGCTATATTGTTTATCATATTATAAAGAAATAATTATGAAATTAATTTTTTAATTCATGAATTTATAAAAATGTGAACAAGAAAATTATATAAACATAAAATGACAAGTAATTGTAATTAGAAATTTCTTTCATTTGTTGTTACTGCATAAATTTATTAAGATAGGTTGTGAGCATTTAGATGTTTTATTTTTTTCACAAGAATTGACAAGAATAAGGTTTAATACTTTTGCTGTCAATTGTTGAGAAAAAAAGAAAATGCATTAATCTAGTTTCATATTTTTAGGTTTTAAGTAATAGAAATAAAATTGTTGGGGGAAGTGGTAGCAAGAGAAAAAAAAACCTACTTTTCACAAATGTTTATTAAATTTTGCCATGTAACTATTATCAACACAGAAAATGAATAGCTAAATATTGTGTCCAACTTTCACCAGAGTTTTTTTTTCTCAACCTAATGCCCTTGAAAAATGTATAAATCTAATATCCCTTCACCATAGGCGAGTTGCAGAAATCTTAAATAAATTTTTCATTTTGGTATGTCATGATAACTGACAGAAAAGAAGTTGGATGAATGAGCACTTGTGAAAAATCATTCTCGCATAACCACTTTCCAATCAGATGGTTGATTTTGTTTAGCGGCATATCAACACTTCTATGGGTTATTTAATGTCAAAATCTAAATATTTTGAACACAATTTTATGGCTTCAATAAAATATATTTTGAACATAATTATATGCCTTCAACTACAGATAAAATGTATTGTTGGTCATTTTTTTTATATATAAAAAAGTGTCTTGATATTTTTACTATAAAAATGTATTTTTTATGTTTGTTTGGAGGTTCACTATTTTTCCATAGCTGGGACCCTGACAGATGCTACCACTCCAGGTTAGGGCTTTCAGTGGTTTCGTCCTTCTCAAAACCTCCAATCTCCTGATCAGAGGCCTTATTGTTGAATGTAGTCTATAGTCTTACCCAGTACTCCAATCATATGGTTGCAACAGTAAAATGCCACGATGATTATTATTAGCCTTGAACAGGACTGCTCAGGAATATAAAGTAAAATCCTAATATAATTGACAGATATCTTTATGGTTATGTTGTATCAGAGTTAAAGGGATTGCAATCTTTCAAAACAAAAACAAAAAAAAAACTTGTAATTGATTCTCATTGCCATGCAATTAATGAACAAGGCCAACAGAAGATGAGTGATTGATATAAAAATAGTTGCCTGGAAAGGTTAAATGATCCTATCAGGCATTAAATCAGCACAACGGAAGCAAATATTACTAAAAGGACAAATTCAAGTGACAGCCATGAAACAGAGAATTGTGCACAAAGTTGTCAAAATGCATTAGCAAAGATGAATTGAGATGAAAGCAATAAAGCCAGGCTTGTTATTAAATCAATTTTGAATTTCAATAAATTGACTGCAACCTTGTCAGATAATTTATTCATTCAAAATGATTTATAGAGATTTTAGAAAGTTATGTAAATGTGAATGGAAAAAAAATAACTGATGCAAGAAAAAAAAAAAAAAAAAATAAAGACTGATGCAAGAAAGGAAAAATTTAATCTGATACATTTTCAGGTTTTACCAGAGTAAATTATAAATAAAATTATAAATATTTGGAAATTACATATTCATGGTAAAGAAATAAATTATGCAAATTGATTTCATAAAGTACAACTGAAAGATCTATTTGAACTGCTATGAAAACTTGATTCATATGAAAAAAATATGAGAATAATACAGAACTTATACAAATAGTAAATCAGCTAAAAATGAATTCAGTAAAGATAGAAAGAAGTTTAAGACAACGATGTGTTTTCTTGATGAACTTATTCAACCTAAACAGCAAGGCACTCCTAAGAGAACTAGAAGTTCTATCAGGATTTATTATTGGTGGACACAATCTTAATATAAGAGATGCAGATGACACACTGTTGATAGCAGACACAAAAAGTAAACTACAAGAAATCTTACAGAAGGTAGTGAAGAAAAGCAAGAAGAAAGGACTAGCTATTGTTATAGACAAGCGTATGGTTGCAAGAAAGAAATACGACAACAGTAGAAATAGATTTACGCAGTTTATTTCAACAGGAACGTGTGGGTTTGGGACAGTTACCTTGTGGTAAAGTTCATAAGCCGGTTTCTGATCTAGGTCAACCTCTCATAGTAGTTCACACATGTTGACGGTGGTTGACGCTCCCCTGCTGTC